AACGTTTGGCATCAATTATTGGTTGACCTTGTGAGCTTTAAACTTTCATTAATATCTTAAAAACAAAAGCAGCACAAACGCAGCAGAGTTGATGGACACCAATTTTGTTTATTTTATAAAAGGTGGAGAAGTCAGTTGGCCTTTTATTACTGTTTTTGAAACAAAAAGTTTTGTGTCACACAAACGTTTGACGGCAGTTTGAGTCACTCAGGTCAGTCGTACCTGCAGCTGTGCAAGAAGGTTTTCTGACACCCTTCCCAGCAGACTGACGGTGGGCTTGTCCTTACAGAGAAGCACCAGCTCGAGGTCCAGGTCTCCTTTCAGCAGCAAACCTTTAGCAACCAGACCCACCCTCATAACGCCACGCAGAGTCCGGGTGGCCTGATCCTTCTGCTCACTGTTAGAAGACGAAGCAAGTTAGACGTCTACATCGTCATCATCAAGTGATCAGGAGGAATGTGCAATCTACTATATCCTGACCTGTCTTTGTCACCGTCTTCAAATTCAGACTTTGTAGTTCCCTTTTCCTCCTTATCCAGCCAATCAGAAACGGCCTTCAGAGCCCGCTCTGTGTGGGACACCATGTTCTGGACGCTTTCCAGCTCCTCCTGTGTTGGATAGATGGCGGAATGTTTGGCCATGACGTGGCGGTCGCCGTTCATGAAGACGCGCATCGTTCTGTGGCGAACGAGGGGAGGCTGGGGTTGGAAACAGGAGAGGTAGGATTTTAATGAGGAGGTTCTTCAAAACACATGATACGTTGAAGCAACATAGACTAAACATGGTACATAATATACATTACAGAAAAACAGGGACGCATCTCAATCCAGGGTTTTATAAACACGACTACGTCGTTTCCAAATTTTCTTCCAAATACAAACGTGTAAAATGTAAATCGGAAACATGTGGTCCAGGACGCAACTAGGGACTAGTGTCCTAAAGAAGACGATATCAAATAGGAGCAGTATTCAAGTTTGAGTGACTATAAATCGTGGGCCTGAACACACCTAAAACTGTAGCAATAAATGCGTTTATTGCTATAAGAAAATGTTCCAGATTTTTCTTATCACAGCAGTATTTCAAAATATTGTAATAAAACTAAGTCTACATTACCCACCACATACTATATGGTCCATGTGTGCTCTCTCTTACTCTGTACAATAACAATGTCATCAATGTGGCCTTAACATGTTAAACTGCAGGAAAAAGCAAGCAGTAAAGAACCAGTTTCTTTTCTGTCACAAAATCGTGACTTGATTTCTGTCAGCGTTCAAGGCAGTTGGTATGGAAAGCCGTTGATGCCACAATTTGTACATTTGTGTTGGGTTTTGGGAATCTAAGGATGAGCTCACCACCTTACGTTGTAATGAAAGTTGTTGGTCCTAGGTGTAAAAAAAAAAAAAAATGGTATTCCTGTCAAACAGGTGGTTCTCCCAAAAATATTGTGTTAATTCCCTTCAGTAATTTGCCATGCAGTGTTTTTAGCAATGTTATAGGAATCATTTCTCTATTTTGTCAAAAGTGGCCATTTTGTAAAATATTTAATTTGTATTTAGAGGTTTCCCTGTGTCGACCCTAGTGTAGTAAAACTACAGCTAAATGTGAATCAGTGCAAACGTCCCTCATATATTCTCTTTGTGTTTTAACATATGCTTATGTTCCAGATGTCAAATATGCCATGTTAATTTAAAAAAAAAAAAGTTAATGAGCTTTTTTTTTTTTTTTACTAGAGATGCAAAGTGATTCAGTTCAATTTTTATTTCAGAAACTTTTTGTTTTATTATTCAAAGGGTCTAGAAATTCTGTGTAAATTATGGGACTCACCAGAGGAAAAGATAGCGAAAACAAAACATTTATTTAAAACAGTTCTATAAGCTACCATTTGTAACTAAAATTACCAGTGTTAAGTTAACTTTTCTTTTTCTTAAGTAAAAGAACATCAAAATATAATTTTACTAAAAAAATTAAGCAGACTAAAACCGATTTCTGAGGATTTACGATTCTCTAAGAAGCCTTAAACCATTTATTTCAGCTAAAGCACTGATAAAACTCTACAGAGTTTAAAGTTTGGTCTGCTTTTTATTTGTTTTATAACTTGACTTTAACGTGAAAGAAAGCACAACTTCGCCACAAGTTAAATGCAAAAATCAGATGTCAGTGACAACAAAATCTGAGTGCATCAACAACCGAGTCTTTTTTTTTCGCACCTGTACATAAAGTTGAAGGTATGCAGGAACGACTGCCTGCTGGCGCTTTTACAGCATATTCAAGAAATAAGTTATCTCATTGAACATAACTTATTTGATTTGAACAGTTGCATAAAAAGACCAGTAGATAATTTGCGTTGCTAATTCTTAACACGGCCTTTTTGGCTGATGGCAAGAAAATGAAACAAAAGCTGCAACGTTACCATTTTCTTTTTAGTGAAGCTGGCGACTTTATTACCCAGTGATTAACACTGATAAGCGTGTCTTCTCTGGAGGGAAATGACACGGCTGCTCCTCGTTTCTGTGAGAGGAAATCAACAATCAAAGGACGTGGAGTGAAGACAAAAGTGGTGAGTAAAGGCTGCCCTGGTAGGAGAACAGCAAAACGGCTGCTGATTTTATTTCATGTCACCGTTTTAAAGATGTCAAATTGTTAAATAATCCTTAGAGCAATTAATAAGTCTGAAAAAGGAAGACTTTTATTTTTCTTTTTAACTTTTTTAGTTGTTCGTTTCTGCTCTTTGGCTGAAATTAATTTAATAATAATAAATCAGTATGGGTTGTTTGGGAGAATGTGGATTTTCAGTGCATCAGACTGACCTCACCCTTAATTAACTTACAAAAATATTCACATAATATGTTGTGCACCAAAAATGTTTTTTTTATACATTTCTCTCTTCAGCGGTGTTAAAATTAAGGACTTTTTAAATATTTAATACAGCCAGATAAACTACCAATTCATTTGTTTTTGCTATTGTGGGTTACGTTGAGAAAACCCCCCCAAAACAATACATATTGCAAAACAAGCATGAACAACAAGAACATGATTTTCTTTAAGTCCTGCTGAAGACGCTGCTGGAGTTTTGAGCAGTTTAAACAGTTTAATAAGTCCAGATTCTTTTCTTTTTTTTTTTGTCGTTGTTGTTTGCTTTTTAGGATTTTTTTTTTAAACATCTGTAACTATTTTACAGTTTTAAAGCAGCATAAAATATGAAATAACTAAAAAGGGGAGAATGTGACTGAAGTTTGAAGACAATATCTAAAAAAAAAAAAAAAGTAGAAATTGTTTCAATTTTGTTGAGAATTGCAATGTTTTGTATCATTTAACTTGTAGGTTTAAGAAGATACATGAACCCTGATTCGTTTTTTTAAAAGCACAACATTTCAACATAAACCTGCTCATCTTGGAAGGCCCCTTCAATGTCCTTCGGATGTAACCATGACAACCCTGATATAACTGACTCCAGTCAGGAACGTTTTCCCTTTACCGTAATATCGGTTTATCGAAAAAAGGACTGGTGGATATTTTAGCACGTATTGTCAAAATGCGGTTTTAAAGATAACACGGTGAAAACGCGAGCGTATCTATTGTTCCATTCATCAACCCCCCAAATAGTAGCATCAACTCAAATGGACCTAATAAAGGGAGCCTATACGCTACTGACGTAGATTTAACATTTACGTGAAACGGTCGTAGCAAAATGGAGAATTAGAAGAAAGAAAATGCAGTCGGCTACAAACCCAAATTGTTGGTCAAAAATAATTAAAAACAAACAAAAAAGGAGACGCCATCTTATTTCGGTTCAGTTAGCCTGGACCAAAAAAAAAATCATCCACTTTTCCTATCGTTTCATGATACTAGCATGCTCCCTGGTGACCAAAAACGACATACTTGGCTTCTATTGTCCATGTGTAACTCTGCAAATATTCAATGCATCAAATAATATTCAGCTCTGTTGGATACGGGACACCAAAATGGTCGAGGAGACGGTAGAAAGACCCCACCGAATCTCCGACCACATTTAGCTAGCACGTTAGCTTTCCTGACCCCGACCAGCTCCAAATACCAACGGCTGAAGCACTCGAATGAGCACAGGAAATAACAAAAATATCACCTTTGTGGTAACTTATAAGTATGTACATTTTTGTGCTATATTACAAATATGTCGGGGACTTAGTCTACACATTATTTTGTTGACACTTACATATATACGTTTTCCACTCACGAATCGTGCCACCGTCGAAGAGCATTAGCTCAAAACTCTGGTCTGCAGCCCAAGCGTGGAAGGAGACGCCCACGATCCCGAAATCACTTGCGCTCATTGGACAAACTGTGGGCGATGCTACGGAGTCAGCCAATGAAAAATAAGGATTTGTAGCTCAGGGTTGTGGCTAAGCCTCAAAACATGGCGATCTACAAAGTCGTCATCATTTATCCCCTCCCACCTCCAAAAGGCACAAGAAAAAAAAAAGAAGGCACAGGCTGCAGAAAGATAAAAAGTTTCCTGGAAACAGCGTTTTTCTTTGTAAAAAAATAAAATAAAATAAAAAAGTAAAAAGATGTGTTTTTTAAATTAAATTAGACCTTTCTATATGATTTCACTTCAATAGTTACTGCTGCGATAAATTAAGGTAATTAAGAGTTACATAAAAGTGAGAACATTTTATGTAAAACGTGAGCAACAAAAGAGAGATAAGTGGAAACAAATTTTATGTCGTGTATGGTTTATTTCATTATATAGTTTGTTTTGGAGGGTCTTAATATATTCTGGGGAGACGTCATTTGCCCAAGTTTTGGGTTTCAATGTGTCAAAATTTGGAAAACTGCCACACTTATCGCTTCTTTTCCATATTTTGAGTATTGATTTTTTTAAATTATTGTATAGTTATAAAAAAACATTATTCTCACTTTCACAAAGGAAAAATTAAATAATTAAAACAAAACATGCTTCCTGTTTCTAGAAACAGGAAGAAATTCCATTCTTTATGACTCAGAAGAAGGTGACACAAGGATAGAAGATATCAGTTTTAATAAACAGTTTAAGTTCTTTTTTTTTAAACAGCCTCACATTCAGTCAGCTTCACTTCACTGCCTCCAGACTTATGGGGAAAGCAGACATACAGTGCTTACATTCACAACATGTATATTCCTGTCACAGGACTACCTGGGCTACACACATCGTAATTTTCACATCTTCATGCTGAGGTAAAAGCCTGTCCTTTTACTCTCATGTGAACACAGAGACAAGCCCCCTGACTGTTACAGAGTCGGACAAACTGACTACTATTTGCACTGACATGTTCTCTCTAAGACTTTTGTAGGTCTTACTTTAAAAACAAATACGAATATATTAAAGCTCAGACAAAATGGTTTCTATTTACAGTGATCCTTAAACATTTTTACATCCTTAAAAAAACTTAAACAAACTTACAGACAATAGAGTACAGGCATTTTTAAGTGGGAATATACGGCACCCCTCGCATGCTAAAAAGCGCTACATGAATTAAATTTATTATTATTATTTACGGGCAAAGATGTGTGAAACCCATACATTCTTAGAGTCTTTTAAAGAGAAACAGGCCCACAGTATCACAGATCCTCTACTGTATCCTCCAGCGATTTGTGTAACCGCTAGCAGTTGCTACTGTTTGCTGCAGTTCTTTGGAGGTGAGCTTTGGAGATTTATTTCACCTCTCTTTGTGGTGGGATTAAAAACAATCTGCCTCTGCACCACATCATGCATAAACGCTTTTGTTTTATTTGAGAGTGACCGTGAGGGGAACCACTGACTTTGGAATCTGTGACTTTCTGGAAAATAATTACTATCACAGTCTTTGGTCTTTACATGCTAATAGCTAATGCTAGCTAGGGTCATCGCAGACAGTTTGCCCAAAGAAATGGTCATGAGCTTGTCATGAACACACAATACTTTACACAGTGTTCTATACCGAACATGAATATTTGTGAATTATTGTTTCTGCACATTAAAAAAGAAAAACTCATATTGGATATTATTAGGTTTTTGTTTTAACTCCCCTTATCTATGCTTAGCTTTTCTCTGACTACTCTGGCTTCCTCCTACCATTTAAAAACATGCATTGCTTGTGTGGGTGCATTGCTTTTTTGTCTTGCTCAACTCCATGTTGCTTTATTACGGTGTGGTCACCTTTCCAGGTGGTACCTTGCCTCTAGCTCATTGACTGGAAAAACCAGTCCACCCACCATCTCAACCCCAACATTCAACCTTTCCTGACTCTTGGTTATGCTTTCATTCATTCCTTCTACAGATTGTTCAATTTAACCCATTTTGTTTTTGACTGGTAAACCAAACAACGACCCAAGTCTGTTGAATTAAATCAATCCACTTTGGACCTGGGATTATGTTAAAGAAAATTGGGCTGTATTAACAGTTTTATTTGTTGTTGTTTTTCTTCACCATCTGAGCTAATAGAAGTACCAACTCTTTAGAAATCTTCTTTGTTTGTAGAATATTGCACTTCGGCACATTGCATCACGAAGCCCCTCTGTATTTGTGCTTTCAGAAAGGAGAGGCTGCCATTGTACTGTAGATACTAGTAGCACTTTTTATTCAGTCCTCTTTTTTGTGTGGTATATTTGCTCATACATAGAAAACCTATGTACTTTAGCCATTTTTTGGTCTTCTTTGTACACAAAGAAGCCATGAGAGGCAGACTCTATGACTGTTTCATTAGTCTCCTGTTAAGTATTTTTCACCGGCATACTGTCAGGCTTCTTGAGGGAGCTAACGTCCCAGCGGACGGAGCGGAAAGTGCTCCCCTTGAAGCTGGCCTGCTTTTTGGTTATCCGGTAGATTTTTCGGAGAATGGCCCGTCTCAGCAGGATGTAGACCCAGGGATCCAAGATCTGATTCCAGGTGGCCATTCTGACGCCGGTCATCATGAGTTTGCTGTAAGTGCAGGTGAGTTCCTCGCCCAGGCGGGATTCGCTGTAGGAGCGCGCGGCTGACATCAGCGAAAAGACCTTAAGACAGGAAAAAGACCCAGTGATGAGTAATTCTGTGTTTTTACATCCGTTTACCTGTTGAGACTCAGTGTTTTAATGTAACTCGCAAGGTTTTAACTAAAATCACCTGAGCTCATTTCAGACATTGAACCGTAAAACAATATCAGTGTGAGTTTCTTTACTGTATTTTTGGTAAGACTGAATTTTATTTCAAGAAAAAAAATATCATCCCTCCACCCCATCAAGCGTGTGATGACATCATGAAAGGTACAAGGCAACAGACATTTTACTTTTAAGCATTTTATTTAGTTTTTTTGTTTCTTGTGTGATTTATTCAAATTTCTCCATCAAACGTGTTAACTTTTATCTTGTGTAATTTCAAGTTTCTTCATGAATCTTTGTGAGAAAGGGCTTTCACATTATAGAATTTGAGTAGTAATTTCTAGAACGTACACTCAATTCTGGCAAAAGTCACAATTTTCACTATGGATGCACAATATATCGGAACTAGCATCGGTATCGGCTCATAACAGTCATTTTGGGTCAGATAAATAAAATTGGGTCGATACGAACAGCTGAAATGTATTTCTGTCCTGTTGTCGTTTGCTTCTGGAAGTGGAGGGGAGGACGTAGATCATGCTTACATCGGATATTGAGACTGGCCCTAATTTTCATGTTGGTGCTTCGCAATTTTTACCATAATACCAATATAGAAATCTCATCCAATATCGATATCTGATAACTAGTATTAACCATTGTTTTATATTTTTCTAACTTTTTGACAAAGTAAAATGTTCTTGGTTTTCCCACAACCCTACACTGCGTCAATATTACTGTCACTAGTTGTGGAATTAATTTCTAAAAACTCAGATTACAAGCAATACCAGGCGAGGAATACAACAACGTTATCGGCCTAACTGTTTATATCTTGACTTGTTATCAGATTTTACTCGAGAACAGTTTGGATTGACACTTTTTTCTCAGCTTCTTTCTCTTTTTGGTTTTTATTTATTTAAAAAAATAGAAATAAAATGGTGGTTACTAAAAAATATCACAAAAAAATTGTCGTAGCAGATATTTACCAAAAATTATAACAAGTTATTGTGGAACACTGATCTATACAATGTTCATATCATAAAACCTTTATTGTCATTAGCTTGTGAAAATATAACTTTATTGATTACATTTCCTCTTTGCATGTAAAATTGGGGAATTTATGTATATTTTCTACTTTAAACCAATAACTTTTGTTTTCCTGTTTTAGAAATAACTAACTTCATACAGAGGAATTTAATGTTTAAATTATGATGTCAGATTTAATGTTAAACCAAAAATTTGAGCAACATAAACACATATGAAAGAGATAGATTTGTACTACGAGGAAAACACTTTCATGGGTAAAAATTTGTATTTAAAATTCAAATTTTTGGAAATGTAAATTAGCATTTCTTTTCCTGAGTTTTTTGCATTTGATTAAAAATAAATAAAATATTTTGTGGATCAACATAAAGTGCAATTCTGCCAATCTGAAATATAGATAATCCAAAAATTGAACAGCATTATTCAGGAAGAACAATTTTGTTTTCAATTCTATCTTAATAATGACTAACTTATTAATGGTTTGACTTGAATGTAATTTGAGCCTCCATTCCTTTTGAGACTCACCAGCAGAGGGCTCCAGCAGATGCAGGAGGTGACCATAATGCCAACCAGCTGGACCACCATCTCTGTGTCATGAGATCTAGCAGAGAACCTCTGGGAATAGGAAGTCTTCTTTATCCGCGCTCTAATGAGCGTCATCCCACTGATGGTGTTGCAGATGAAGGCCAGCGCAAGAGAGCTCAAAGCCAGTCCAGAGAACAGCGTCACAAAGGTCAGATCTTTGACATTTGTGTCCATCACTTTAATAAAGCACCAAGTACCCGGGTACTGGTAAGTGTAGTCCCCTAGTTGGAAAACGGGCAGCAGGGCCATGCACAGAGCCAAGAACCAGATCATAGACAGGGCTATTTTGGTCCGCGCTGTTGTCACTAGCCGGGCGTGCAGCAGAGGCTTGGTGACGCCGAGGCATCGCTCTGCAGCCATCGCACAGCCCAGGAAGAGCGGGCACAACCCGAAGAACACCAGGCACCCTCCCAGAAACTGACAAGGGCTGTCTGGATCTCTCGGACCATCCAGGGACGTCAGATTGGCCGTGGAGTATCTCCTCAGCACCAGTCCCCCGGAGACCACGTGTCCCGTGAGGTCCGTGACCACGAGGGAGCTGGCGAAGAGCAGGAAGGTCGCCTTGGACCGCCGCCGGAAGCGAGTGTAGGCCTTGATGAGAATGATGAGGGCCACCACGTTGAACAGGATGCCTAGAGTCATCATTAGGCTCGCAATGATGGGGTTCGAAGGAACGCTGTTATGCGGGCAGTCCACTTCGGGTGCCATGGTGCTGCTGTTGACATTGGAGTAGAAGTCTGAAGAGTTGGAGTCCGGTTTAGTCTCCATGGCAGCTGGGTTCCGGGTTTCATGTGGTTCGTTTAGGTGAAGCAACACCCACAAGGGAGAAAGATGAAGGATTAGAGTGATTAGAGTCATTGGATTTTGTAGGGTATTGAGGCAAGACTTCCTTGTTTTTGCCTACACAGATCAGATTAGTCTGCACCCAAAGTTCTGACAGAGTTGCCAAAAATTGTATTCAAGTAAGCGTGGCAAAATTTCAACTTATTTTTACTCAAGAAAAAGTCAAAAGTGCCCATACAAGGCATTGCAAGAGTAAAACGGTATTTGGTAAAAAGGTAACTCAAGTACTGAATAACTGATCAGAACATCAGTTATTTGCCATCAAATATTTAACAAAAATATAAAAAAATTGCCAAAATATGCCACTTTTTTTGCCACAAAAAACCACATTCAAAACAGGAATATGATCTGAAAGTCTGAGTAAAGGGGGATAATATGGAGCTCACTTGGAGCCATAGAGTTGATCAAATTTGTTTTGGACTTGGTGGGGGGAAAAAAGAGATTTGAAACTGAAAAAAAGTTCTCAAATTGAAGAAAATATTTGAAAGTTAAACTTATTTTAAAGCTAAAAGAAAAATAAACCGAGGAGGAAAATCAAAGAGGGATTTGAAAACAAATCAAAGTTTATTTTATGAAGTCGGAGGGAAAAAAAAAAGTTTAGAAACTGGAAAAACAATTTTGAAACTCGACAAAAACTTGAAACAGAAAACGTAATTTTCAATTTATTTCAACTGAGTATTTTTGTTTTCCAGTTTCAAATCGTCCTTTTAGTTTCAAAATAAAATTGACAAAATCTTTATGATCCCTATTTAGCTCCACAGAAAACAAAAATCATGCATGTTATGTCCTCGAAGGAACTGTTATGATTTATCTTGTGCCTCATGTGACGTAGAGTTAAGAAGCCTGTGGAAACCTGCTTTCGGGAGGCTATTTATCTTCATGAAATGGATTTCTTACAGAGCAAATAGCTTTAATCCCTCAGTAAGACCTCGACCTCCCAGTCTTTTGAAACACAAGCCACACTTGTGTTTCAAACTTGAAGTTAAAAAGACAGAAAACGTCGACCATCGGGACGGATAGGACACACATCCATAGGCAAAAATATCTCCAACTACGACTCCACCCTCTGCATTCCCACCTGCACTTAAAGCTTTCCAACACTGTGTTTTGTTTACAGAAAACTATTTTTCTCTCTCTCTCTCTCTCTCCTTTTTGGCCCTATGGTATCCCAAACTTTCAAAACCACATGGGCACACTTAAACATTTGCTTTAAAAAAAAAGAAAACTAAACTAAAAGTAATCTGTTTTTGGAGCACCGTGCCAGTTTTTTTTTTTTCTTCATAACGAGGGGATCCTTGAACGAGTCTCGACAGCTCTGCTGCTGATCACAAAGCTCACATTAAAAAGCAGCAACAGACCGCAGACACACCAGTATGGAGGTGAATTACAATTCAGTCCACAATGTCAAGTTAATGACATTTTTGTTTTATTGCAAGAGCAACTTCTATGCGTTTTCTCAACAAAATTTAATGTCACAACTTCTTACTTTAATGTTTCGTTGGAATAATTTTTTAATATTGCTGTTGCACGCGCAAGACGCGTTTACATAAAATATTTTTGCGTTAAAAAGTTAACAAATTGGGAATGGAAATGGTTCGAGAAGGGAGTTTTATTTGAAAATGAGGATTTAACACAATTTTAAATACTTTGTTGTTGTTGTTGTTTTAAAAGGAAAAATAAATAAATAATACATAAAACGAGTAGTTATTTCACCTACCATGTAAACACAGAGTCCATGGAGATGGACCACCGGTGGGAGTTTCACAAATTGCCCCCCCAAAAAATCAAAGCGCCGCTGCTGGTTCAGGAACTCCGTGAATCCAAGTTTTCCAGAAACGTCCCGGCGTTAAACGAGCCGTCGAGTCGAGGCGTCTCCTCGGCGGACATCGCTCTCATCTCCGCTGGACGGACAGCTGACCCGGATGCACCGCGCGAGCGCGTTCGGCTTTGTGCCTGTGGAGCCAACCGGCCTTTTTATACTCCGCAGCTGCAGTGCCCTCCCATCGCCTGTAGGGGTCTCCGTCACTGAAAGCCCCCCGTTCTCAGGCTCTGTGAGCTGTGAGGAGCCAGGCAGGGAGACGAATGACTCCTGAAAGCACCAGCTAACTCTAACTTCACCTCTCTGACAATTATAGGTAATTATAGAAATAAACCCTTACTGCTGAGAAGAAATTTAGCGCCAGGGCTATGATTAGTTCCTTTTATAAAGACTACAATTTCAACAAAGTGAACACTTACAAATGATGTAAAGACATGAAACAGTGAGGGGAGGGGGCAGGGGGTTTATTGTGTGTGTGTGTGTGTGTGTGTGTGTGTGTGTGTGTGTGTGTGTGTGTGTGTGTGTGTGTGTGTGTGTGTGCGTGCGTGTGTGTGCGTGTGTGTGTTTTTAGTTGAATTCGTGTTCTTGTTCTAAAAATAAACAAAACATTATCATGAGCCATGTAAAGGCTGAGTCACGGATCAGGCAGATTGCATTCCCCCAACAATCGTCATCGATCAGTTAGAACCAGACGCACGAGGCGCGACCGCAAACTACAATAAAGGAATCGACGGATCTATTCGATTTTTTATTACCATCATTGTTTTCCAAAAAAAAAAACAAACTGCAACGTACAGCACGCAGTTGTGTTTGATAACACAAAATCCAGCCCCATGAATCACCTTCCAAAGTCATGGAGATCTTGAGGTGCTCCAGGCCTTGAGGGGCAAAACCATAAAAGTTTTGATAGCTTTTATGCCCCACTGTTCCAACGTTTAGTTTTGTGTTTTATTGAGTTTCATATCTCTCACTATTCTACGTTTTTCTTTTTTTAAAGACAACTGATATGAAAATATCAGTAAAACACCTGTCCTGTGACATACAACACTGACTGTTTATCCTGTGCAATTAAATGTGAATCTGTCTTTAAAAAACCAATTCACCAGCAAGACACATGTCACGACCTTCCAGTGACCCAGGCCAAAGCAATCAACACTGCACTGCAAAAACACATATTTTTGGTATGGATTCCAGTGTAACTATCTCAGTTAATACACTTAAGTTAAGACAAAGCTAACTCACAAGGAACCAGTGATAGGAGCTTGTTTTAAGTAAGTAATTCCTTAATATTGGCAAAAAAAAGTTCGAGTTCCACTGACAGAAAATATCTTGCTCCGGGTGAAATAATCTACCAGTGGTTTTCACCAATCTATTCACTTGAAGCGAGCTGCACTTTGCTGAAAACCTGGAGTGCGGGCAGAGTGGGCAGAGTGGGCAGAGTGCTGATGAAGCTGGCCGTTAGGATGGAGACAGGAAGTCCTCCTCCGCCGTGAGGACCGGGGTAAAGAGCCGGTTATTTGCGAGTGTGCGTGAACACGCTTCATCAGGACTTGCATAACAGTGTTTTTCAAATGTCTAAGACAACAAGTGGGCTTGTTTTGTTTTTCTTAATTGTCTTATCAGGAAAAGAACTCCTTTTAAGGGTCTCTATGTTGATGACTATAGGGTTATTCTTTTTACATCTTTTGTATTGGATGTTTTCTTAATCTTTCTCTAATAAATGCAAAAAATAGTAAGCAAATCCCTAAAAAGGTTGGCAGGGACCAAACAAAACATGATTGGAGGTCTTTTTTTTTTTTTTTGAGTCAGGCTGTGTTCCCCTGTGTGGCAGAGTGTCGGAGATGTCAGGTTTTTTGGATTTTCAGTTTTCAGTACAAATTTACACAACAGTGCTGCAGCACAGAAATCCCCCTTTTAGAGAGTTCCTGAGTTTGTTTTTTTGACCATGAGGAAAATTCATATACAAGGCAAATAGAACCAGAGAACAAATGGAGACAGATTCTTGACAGCATCAATGACAAACATATTTTTAGTAGACAAATTAAAATTAATTTAAGAAAAGCACACAGGAAGTGACTGACTCACTTTATTTGTTGTTTTCGCTTGGATAGTTTTTCTATTCAGATATGATTTTTTTTTTTAACAGGCTTTCTCCTAAAAACTTTTTGCAAGAACGAAATGTGACAGCCAGCCAGTACGGATTGATTTGAATTGATCAGGCGCATGAATCATTGACACGTGAATGACAAGTTGCATTTCATGTGAGCACGCCCAAAAACACAAAACACACTCTGAGCAAAGCCTGCATGTAGAGGTATGGAGGCAGTGCTTTGCTAACCTGCTGCGATCATTCTGCTTGGTCCTGTATTGTTGTGACCTGCCACTGGTGAGAGCCATCAAGTGCAAATGAAAATTCCCTTGAAACCCAAAAGGACATCAGTGAGGTCAAAAAAAGAACCCAAAACAACATCCACAGCTCTTCGAGCCTCACTTGTCTCAGTTAAGGTCAGAGTTTGTTATTTGACAATGAGAAAGAGCAAAAAATGGCGTCCATGGGAGAGTATAAAGCACATAAAAGCATTGGTTTTTAAAAAGAATGCAAGGCCGGTATCACATTTCCAAAAAAAAACAAAAAAAAAAAAAACAAGAACAAAAAAAACAGAAAACATCTTGATGACTGACAAGAGAATTGGGAAACCATTTTGCAGACAAGAGAGGAAAAAAACCACAGCTGTTTTGGAGGTGTGTGTCCTCTCACATCTGGCCTAAAACTAACAGCCAACGGGGGCAATTCCTCCCGCATGACTCATCAATGAACTCTTGAGGTAACTCTACTAAGTCATCGCCACTCCTGGTCAGATTAAACATTGTTCTGTTCAAGTTCGAGTTTTGTTTGTTTTTTGGCATATTGATGAACAGTTACATAACTACCAGGTGGTGAGTTTCCATCTCAAGTCCCATTGATGAGTTGACATTAAAGCTGTTTTTGGCCGTCAGGATGGAGACAGGAAGTCCAATGTAAATACAGTGACTAAAAAACACTCCATAGAATAACACTGTGGAAGAAGAAATGCATAAGACAACTTTAAACTCTATATATGATTGCATGCGATCAATGTTGTCATTTTTGGCTTTCCAGCAATCGGCTCTTAAGACGTAATTTTTTTTTTTAATGAAACCGAGTCATCTTGTCTGACATTACAATTTGTTTGATTCCAAGCATTTATGTGTGTTAAAAAGCAAAACAGCAGAAATACATAAGGGGGCTAATACTTTTTATAACATTAGCCTCCGGTGTTTCCGTGAAGCTGGTAAAAATCTAAGGACAACCAAAGATTTGGGCTTTGAGGAAAAAAAACCACAAGATTCTGCAGAATCCATTTATTTCATTTTTTTTCTTTTTTTTTGTTTTACTCTATTTCTTCTTGCTGTGAGTCCATAAAAACGTCAGCGCTCCCAGTTGGAGGTAAGAGTCCAGATCGGCTGCTCTTGGTTTACAGAAGCCATTCTCTGCATACCTATCAGAAACACAACCACAGGAGAGAGAGAGGGAAAATGACTGAGAACTTCATAATTATCACATTTCTCGAGCAGATATTTTCTTGTGTAAATATTACGCATGTCACGCTCCTCGGGTTTTATAAAACAATCATTGCCCGGAGGCGTTTGTATAAAATCGCGGGGGCAGCTACCAAAACGTTTATGACTTGAAATGCCCCAAAAATCGAGGATTCGGGAATTGAAACCTCCTGAATCCCTCTGTCCCACTCTGCTGCTGTGGGGGGTCGACAGGAGAGGATTTCCAAGAAACCCTTTTTGTTATTTTGTTTTTTGAGTTGTTTTTTTTTTAAAGCAGTGCTTGTCTGGCCAAAAGGTGTTTCTGCTGATCTGGTGTCTCTTTGTCCTCGTCCGGGGCCTCCTTCGCACGCTGCCCTTTTTAGGGCTCATCCGTAGAAAACCAAAACAAACACACACCCTTGCAGTTTTGCGGCTTGTATTAGGTTTCTTGTTTTCAGTCCAAAGTTGTCTCATGATTTTATCAGATGAGCTGTATACAGGCCACAGAGAGGCATGCCGGGTTCCCATGAGCGTCTCCCACACGGCGCTGCAACAGATGCGTATCCGCAATGTCCCTGGAATGAGAGGCTGAGGTGCCAGTCACACGTTTGTAAATGCTGACGGATGTTTTTCGAAAAGTCAAAAGGACAGAGACGTGAACCGAAGATGAGCAGACACAGAGACTTACAAAAAAATAATAATATTTGTAATTCTGATATTTTTAAGTGAGGTTTGATTGGACATGTCAGCAACAAAGTGCTTTATCCTAAAAACTTTATAGTCACCAATTATGAAACAATGTGATAACATCATCAAACTACTACACATCAGACGTGCTGATGATAGCCCCACTTGCTGCTGTTCAGAGGAAATGCTAATCAGGTGAGCCTGGATTTAAAGGAAGTCCATACTTTGGTAGTTTTGCAGTTTCCTAGAAGTTTCCTCCAAATCGGAGGAGAATACAAACCCAATGCTGCTCCTCTGTGTTCGGTTCTGGTTCTGCAGATGCAAAACCAGGTTCTGGGGACCTGAACCCCAGAACCTGACAGGTTTTTAGAAGGTTGCTATGGCAACAGCAGATCTTTAACTTGTGGTGGTGCTAAGACGTTGGGTGATTTATGAGCTAACAACAGTGTCCTAAAGTCTGTTCTCTGAGCTACAGAGAGCCAGTGTAGGGACAGTAGAACTGGGGCGACGCGCTTCATCCGACTGGTTTTAGTGGGAATTCGTCCTGGACCAGCTGCAGCTGGAGGATTGATTTTGTAAGACACTGCTACAGTAATCAATGCATGGACGAGTTCGTCTAGATCTCGCTCTTAATGTTAGCCTTTTAACACAGGAAGTGTTCTTCAGGTGGTAAAAGGCTGACTTTGTAATTGTCTTTATGTGTCACTGAGAAGCAGGCTCAATAAGTCTGATTGTTTGTTGCCCTACTCGGAGCAACAGCCCTGTCCGTAGGTTTCTAACAGCGGTTTGTTTGTTTGCGTTGAATTTGATGTGGGATCATCAGAGTATTGGATCGGAATGAGTATGCAGAGCGCTTTTGCAAGGCA